AACATACATTGACAGAGAACTTCCAGAGGTTGAAGCCGGATTCAGAAGAGGCCGTGGAAAGAGGGCTATCATTGCTGATGTCCGATGGATCTTGGCTGAAAGCAGAGAATATCAGAAAGATGTTTACATGTGCTTTATTGACTAAGCAAATGCTTTCAATTGTATGGATCATGACAAGCTATGGACAACATTGTGAAGTATGAGTATTCTGGAACACTTGATTGTGCTCATGAGGAATCTGTACCTGGACCAAGAAGCAGTTGTTTGAACAGATCATGGGAACACTGAAGAGTTTAAAATTTAAAAAGGTGTGTAACAAGGTTGTATTTTTTCACCATACTTATTCAACCTGTATGCTGAGCAAATAATCAGAGAAGCTGGGTTATATGAAGAAAAATGTGGCATCAGGATTGGAGGGAGACTCATTAACAACCTGCAATAAGCAGACGATACAACCTTGCTTGCTGAAAGTGAAGAAGACTTAAAATATTTACTGATGAAGATCAAAGAGCACAGACTTCAGTATGGATTACATGGCAATGTAAAGAAAGCAAAAATCCTCACCACTGGACCAATAAACAACATTCTTATCAACAGAAAAAAGATTGAAGTTGTCAAAGACTTCATTCTTCTTGGATCAACTATCAACACTCACAGAAGCAGCAGTCATGAGATCAAATGATGTATTGCATTAGGCAAATCTTCTGCACAAGACCTTTTTAAAGTGTTGAAGAGCAAAGATGTCAGCTTGAGGACTCAGGTGCACCTGACCCAAGCCATGATATTTTCAATAACCTCATATGCATGTGAAAGCTGGACAGTAAATAAGGAAGACCATAGAAGAACTGATGCATCTGAGTTATGGTGTTGTAGAGAATATTGAAAGTGCCATGGGCTGCCAAAAGAACCAATAGATCTGTGTTGGAAGAAGTGCAGCCAGAGTGCTCCTTGGAGGTCAAGATGGCCAAACTTCGTCCATTATACTTCAGACATATTGTCAGGAGGGACCAGTCACTGGAGAAGGACATCATGTTTGGTAAGGTTGAGTGTCAGAGAAAAAGAGGAAGACTCCCAATGAGATGGATTGGCCAAGTGGCAGCATCGATGGACTCAAGCGTGGCAACAGTGGTGATGTTGGCCCAGGATCAGGCAGTGTTTCGTTCTGCTGTGAATAGGGTTGCTGCTATGGGTTGGTACCGACTCGATGGTGTCTAACAACAACAACAGCAACATATTTAGTTTCCACATTTCTCAGTAATGACAAGAAAGTAGCTGATTTCTGGGTTCCAGAAAAGAAGAACCAATCAGATTAGCGATTGTTGTTGTTGTTAAATGCCCCCATATTGATTTCAAATTATAGTGATCCTATATAGGTTTTCCACTTTAGAATGCACATTCTGCAATTTAGAATTTCAATATTATTTTGTAGTATTCTGTATAAAAAGTTTAGGTAAATCTTAAATCTGTTTATATTATCATATGAAATGTCAAGGTTAAATTTGTCAAGGAAATAAGAAGAAGAACTGCTAGATTATTTAAGATCAAATGTTGCAAATTTTTTAATGGTTTCAAAAAGTTGCATTTCTTACATGTGCAGACAAAGTTTGATAGCAACTTATCATAAAAACACCTTGAGAAATAATAGAATATAGCCCTTTAAGCATGATAATAAGATTTTCATGATAAAAATTTATGTTGGTAGAAGCATGTCCACATTCTCAATTTAAAGTTATTCAGATTCAAAAGTTGTTGTTGTTGAGTTCTGTCAAGTCAGTTCTGACTCATAATAACCCTGTATAAGGTTTCCGAGGAGTAACTGGTGGGTTAAAACCAATGACCTTGGGCTACAAACCAACCTTGCAGTCCAGTGCTTATCCTGCAGCACCACACCAGGACTCCACATATATTTTATTTTATTTATAGTTATATTTTATCAAGCAAATATAATGAATTCTTTACCTTGTCTCATACAGATGCTCTTACTACCCCACCCCTTAAGCCAATTTGCCCCAGTGTACTATACAAAAACTTTTTTTTTTCTGTTAGGAAACATTGCTGTAGTTAGTTTGCTTCCATTCTGTTTTCTGCTACCTTCTTCTCTGTCTTATCTTCTAGTTCAATTAGGGTTCAATTAAAGATTTAATGTCATATATAGCTTTTAGTTCTGTTCCCTCAGGAACGTGATGTCTACATGAAAACTGAAAGATGTTAAACAAGTTATTTTTTTACTGCTCACTTTTTACCTCTTGAAAATCTTGGCATATTATACTGTAAGGCTAGTTAGTGTCTTTTTTTTTTTTTTTTTTTAACCTGAATAGTGACACTTCTCACTTGGTGATAAATCATCCAGCACATTGATTTGTGTACTTGAATGTACTTGTGTTTTATTTTACAATAACATAAGGCTTAAAATTGATTTTCTAAGACTAAGATATATTATGGTCTATAGATGTCCTCTAAACATACTTTTACTTCCTGCCTATCCTTGCTTTTATTACTCTCCAAGAATACTGCATAAATAATTAAGTGTCCCTGGGAGTAGTCTTGGAAGGCATGAACTTAATTAATAATTCATAATAGAAACACAGTTCTCTTTGTTTTTTTGAATTGTCTTATTTTCAGTAAGATCAGATAAATCAAGTAATATTAAAAACAACTTAAGAATGATCATTGGCTTTCCCATGATTAAAGTCATATAAAATATGATTCTAATGAGCATGGCGGTTATTACTATGATCCACGTAACAGGATGGGACTAACCCTTAAAATAAAAAAGTTAATGTGGATCCCAAATCCATTTTCACCCCTACCCACGACAAATATTAATTTCTTCGACATCCCAGAAGTTGTGACAGATAAAGTTCATAGGATGAATGTCAGATAATTACAGAAAAATATCTAATATATATGATACGTATGGGGATATTATTGTTTTACTGATAATGTTGTTTTCCCTACTAAATCTATCAACCAAATGTTTATTCCAGGCCTATATAGCGTTCCCCTGAAGAGAATGCTTCACTGATGTGTCACTGACCTTATTGCCAACACTGACAATTTTATTTTCTAGATCAAAAAGATGAAAAGGGCAAATATATTCTTGCTCTAAACATTTACCATGGATTTTCTTGCCTAATTACCACACAATTAGCATCTATCTGCTGTGAGAATAAAACATCCTGGAGAGCTTGAGGCCACAACTCAGAGGCACAAAAGGATAAAAGATATCTCATAATGCCATCAACAATCACACATGTAGACTGAGAACAGATAGAAGAGCAATCATTCGAAGCCCATTCCCCAACATTCTATGTGAGATTTACTCATGTAAGACTTACTTGCATTTTTGTTTAAAAAAAAATACAAAAAACACTTAATTGCATCAGATGTCTTATTAACATTGACACTTGTCTTTGTTAAGGAAGTATTATGCTTTAAGAAATGATCAATCTAGCTCATATTTCCCAAACGTGAAGACAAATAAACATTATTCCATCGCCCCATCCTCCTCAAAGTCCTGTGTTATTCGCTTCCTGTAAAGAGCAACCCGTGCTTCCTTTCTCCAGATCCTCATAAGCATTCTTGTCATTTTCTCCCTCCCCACTTCTCTCTCTTAGGACAGATCGCGCCCTCCTGTGGTTGGGAGTTTAAAAACAAAAAACCTTCCTCAGATGCTATTTATTTGCTCTTTTTCACCTCACAGCAATTTTACTTCTGGGATGAGTCCAACTCGTTCCGCTGAACTCGACGCATGTAGTCACGATCATGAGTCTAATCACGCTCTCCCCTACAGTCAATTTTATATTTTACTATTCAAAAGAGGGAAAAGGCACAGGTCAAAAAGGAAGCAGCTTAGTTCTGACCAGCTGCAGAAGGGCGGCGGTCCTTGGTGCTCAGAAGGGAGGGCGGCTTTGGCAGTAGCTGTCCAGCTTTTCCTGCTGAAATCTGCAGTGTCGGTGCTCTGGGTCCTAATTAAATTCCTCCGTGAGAGACTGAACTTATTTTCCTCTGCGGGTCTGATTTACAGGTTTGCTTTCCATGGGATGAGATTCTTTCACAAAGAGACTTGTGCATCTCATGAGAAAATAATGGCACTGCTTCAGTTAACATATAAATGAAAAGCCCCACTGAGGGGAAAAATGCAAAGTTTAGCGTTAATGAAACCTGAGTCCCTTCCCCTCCCAGCGCTGAGTCAATATTTGGAGCATCACTTGAAGCCTTAGACCCTCTTGTTGATGAGCAAAGCGAATACTTTTCTGTTTTAGAAACATGGATTAATCATTTTTAAGATAAAGACTGTAAACATAGTGCACTATGCTCTGCAATACATGGGATTGAATTTTAAATATTGGTTTACCAATGGTGACAAATAGAGGGGGAAAGGAAGTAAAATTGTAATTGAAGTGTGTGTATATATATATATATAATATATATATTTTATATATAATATATATATAATATTACTTTAACAGTGTCTAGGAGATGTGTTCATGGTGGCTTCCTTATTTCTCTCTACCTTCCCAGTTCCTCTGTCCAATTGAGAGACCTAAGAGATCAGAGGGCCATTATAAAGATCCTGTTCCCCTTCCACTATTTCTTCACGTTCCCCCACCCCCAAACAAGAGAGAATCATATAAATATATATTTAAAAAAAAAAAAAAAACAGTTTGGAGGGAGGGAAAGTGTGTTGCATACCCAGCCTTTGGTTCTTTGTAATTATCTTCAAGAGGGGCCACTTCTCTTGCAAAGTGAAGATGCTTCTCACATCTACAGAATTTAAGTACAGATAGGGAGCCAACTTAACTGATCCCAGAAAACTGTTCCTTCCTTTTCTTAATCCCTCGCTGCTTATTTTAGCCACTTCTCCACCCCGCCGGGAATACCATCTAGATCTTAGTCCAGGTAGATCTGACGTCAAGAGATGGCTTTCGTCGATTTGACGTGTAAACACTCATTTCCATTCCGGCTTGCGAGGGCTGGGGCTCCACTCAGCTGGGGAGACCGAAGCGCAGCACTGAGCGCTCGACGCCGCCCATCCTCTCCTCGCGCGCCTCCTATCTTCTTTCTGAGCAACCGGCTGTGAGAAGTGGTCCAGAGCCCAAGGGTGGGGAAGGGCAAGTCTTTCTGGCTTTTCTCCTACCTTGCCAGTTTTGTCACTCACTGTCTGTCCTACTTTGTGTGCTAACCAGTGCGTGAGCCATGGAGCTGAGACTCTGGGCTCTGCGGAGTGCTGCTTTCGTCCTATTTTGCGCTTATTGTGTAGTGAACAATGTAGGAGCAAAGAAGCAGTTTGTCAATGAATGGGCAGCTGAGATCTCCGGGGGACCAGAGGCAGCTTCCGCCATCGCTGAGGAGCTGGGTTATGACCTTTTGGGTCAGGTAAGAGTTTGCACTTTCAAGAAAGTTTCTGGGGACCGTGGGGGACTGGCGGGACTGAAGCGCTGTTTCCCAGGTGGGAACTCCAGGTTGCACTCTCCTGTTCCTAGTGTGGCAAGGCGCTCTCGCCCCAGGCATGCTTCCAGAGAGCTTGCATTAGTTACAGTTTGGGCTGGGAGCAGTCTAGCAGAAGGAGTCTATGCAGCGGGTACAGCTTATTCTTGCTGTTGACCGCTCTGGAATTTAAATTTGTTCCCGCGCGGTTTGGGAAAAAAAAAAAAAAAAAGCCTTCCACGCTACTTCAGGGAACTTGAGGTACATGCTAGCTCTTGCCAGTCTAGCGTCCCCTAGGAGAGACTGTGCTCTCTGTCCCCCAGGATCCATTCGGTCTGCGTCAGGAATTGGCTGTTTCCTTCTTTACAATATGGCAGCATTTGATCCAAGTCCTGATACAAGGCAGCCTTGAGGATGTCTGTAGGCAACCTTTGGGGGTACATCCAGGGCATTCGGAGAGCGTCAGCGGCGGGCAGAGACTCTTGGCTGTGAGACTGGGGACCCGCGGAGGGGCCAACCAGAGAAGAGGTGGGTGAAGCACACACGGAGACTAACTCTCCACATCTTTCTGTGGAGCTCTAGGATTTCACAGGGAACTTGTAAAGTGTTAGCGTCACAACTTTGCTGGACGAGTTCCCCTGCAGGATCTAGTGTTCACACTGACCTTAAGGATAGGATCTTTGTCTTTCTTGAATCTCAGTCCAGTACGTAATCGCTTCACCAGGGTTTTCAGCTTGTGCTAGAACTGTTATCTGTCCATCTGGAAGTTGGATTAATAAATAGTTTTTCGGGGGGATAGTGAAGACAGGAGAAGGAGCTGTTTGGCTGGGCAACACCAAATGAAGCGCACAGGGTGTGATATCGAAGCTATAGCTTTTCTTGTCCTTGGCTTATAACCAAACTCCCACCCTTTGCCTTGGAAGGTGTTCTGCGTTGAAGTGGAGGAGGAGGGAGTTGTAAAACATTTTGGCGCGGTTTTTTTTCCTGGAGGTGGTGGTAGAGATGCTGCTGAAGTATGAGTAATCCGTGTGGGCGTTAGCGAATTCATAGATCGAATCCACCGGGGAATCCGCCTTCCCTTGCCAGAAGCTTAATTCTCCAATTTTATGAACCAAGCTGTCTTTGAAATGCCCTGCAGGAAAGCCAATACACAGACTTACTTCCTCATGCCCCAGAAGCAGACTAAGCATTTAGCTTTTGCCCAGCCCTTGATAGATGACAGGCTCCATGCTATGGGCTGAGAAGCAGGCGATGGAAAAGAAGCACCACTAAAGAATCAAATTTCTAGAGGAGACAGTTTTAGAAACAAATGATGTGAGTTACATAGTAATAGAAATTGTATCTGGCGTCTCAGCATTTGTTGATTGAAAGAGTGAGGGAAGAAGACAAGAGAGAGGTGAAAACAAGATTGCCTCAAGAAGGAAATATTTGCACTGGGTTTAGGAAAAAGAGTCAAAGGTTTCCAGGAGGACATATTGATACTTGAAAAGGTGTTCCAGACATAGGAAAAAGATTGTGACAGACAGGGAAGCACAAAGGAGTTTAATAGTAAGTTTGGTGACTGCAACTAACTGTTGGAAATAGTTGATACCTAAAGAAGGAGCTCTGGTAGTTTAGTGGTTATGAATCGGGCTGATAACCTCAGGGTCAGCAGTTCAAAACTACCAGCGGTTCCTAGGAAAAAAGATAAGGTTTTCTGTTCCTGCAACGATTTACAGCCTTGGAAACCCTAAGTAGGGTCGCTATGAGTCGGAACCGACTCCACGACACATAACAACCACCACCAAAGAAAGAGTGAATAGCAGATGGAGCGGTGTTGGTGGACACAACATGAATTATGGAAACATTGTAGGTCCTATGGAAAAAAACTGGGAATTTAATCCTTTATTCCTTAAGCACCTACTGAAAGGCTAAATATCACTGGTAACTGTGGAAGAAGATTGGGGGAGGAAGCAAAACATAAATCGTTCTTCCTTTTCTTTCCAGGTAGCCTCAGATACACTCTAAAGCTTGGCCACCCCATTTGAGAATTGTTTTTAAAAGTAAACAAACACAAATCCACTCCCTGTCCACCCCCCAATTCTTGCTATTCTTGCTAGAATCTTCAGAGAAAGGATGGCATGACCACAAGAAATTTTTTTTTAAAGTGGTGTTTTGGGGTGGTGGTGGTAGGAATCACCTATATTTAGAAGTGATTTGCATATGGTATATTGTCTGTAGACACTTCTACTTAAAATGACATAATAATAAATTTTTTCAAATTTTTTTTTGTGGGGGAAGTCTGTGAATTCTTTCCTGGTTCTACTTATTTCTGCCCTTGTTAACATTAACCCAGTAGCATTAGCTCAGAACTTCATATGGCTTTAAGGGCAAAGCTAAGATTAATTGAAGGACCAGAAGCAAAACAAGTTGAGGGCAGAAACTGAGCTAAACATTAGTGATCTTTTCCTAGGGCTATTGATCTCTTTTACTGGTTCCATCTAGAGCTTGTAACAGATTTACTCTCTTAAGATTCAGTAGGCTGGGGGCAGGACCTAAACATCTTTATTAAACATGTCTCAAAAAGGGTAAGAATCATCAATTTAAAGAACATGCTTCTTAAATAACCCATTGTTAAATGTTTGTGCATTCATTAAAGAAATGAAGGACATTTGGAAGATGTGGTAGATTAAGTTTTGAATAAAGCTTAAAACAATAACAAAGATGGTTCTAAATGGACCAAAAGTTTTGATAGTCTCCTAGAGAATTATGGACAACATAAGATGAAATACCAGTCCTAAATACCAGTGTCATTTCCCAAAGGCCTGTACTAATGGAAATTCAAATGGTCATTAGTAATTTAGTATCTACATTTTATAACAACAATGAATTGTTTTAGCTGAATGTGGCACTGATCATACATAATACTCAAGGAATTTCATTGCTTTGTACAAATTTCTGTTCTTTGATAGGATTACTTTAATTCAGTTGGTATTTTTTTTGAGAATTGCTTATGCATACAACATTTTTACATTAAAAAAAAAAAATCAAATGCATTTCCTCTAAAAGGTGTGGAACAAAAGAACTACCAGCTTCTCAAATACACTTTAAGACCAAGCAATAGTATCTTGAATGTCATTTCATTGAACACTGACAAAATACAAAAGCTATCTACTACTGTCTTTCCTATGAAGAGAAAAGGTAACTTTAGGTTCAGGAATGGGTTTAATAAAAGTCACTGGTCTCTAGCTGCCTTTCAAACTAACCCATGTATGTGTCTTTTGGACAGTGGATGTTTATTTTATTATTTTCTTTTATAGATTGGATCTCTTGAAAATCATTACTTATTCAAACATAAAAATCATCCTCGAAGATCTAGAAGGAGTGCTCTCCATATCACTAAGAGATTATCTGACGATGATCGAGTAAGTTCTGTGCATTTGTCTTTGAATCAGTATCCTGACTTATCTGCATTCTTTGTGATTTCAATAAGAGCACAAGTACTTTGTAAATATGATTCTTTTTATTATTATAATGACTATGCATAGTGTTCCTTTACCTAGGATCATAATTGCACATAATATTAAAAAAATTGTGCTGCATTGGTTGAGTTGAATTGAACTAAATTGAAACACATGCACACACAAACACACACATATATGAGAGAACTTCAGAAAGTTTATGGAAAAAAATCCATTGTCTTTAATTCCATTTTTCCATGAATTTTTGAAGCCCTCCCCATATATAGACAGACCTCAATTTATGACATATTCGAGTTACAGTGAATTGCACTTACAACTCTCTGTATTTGTTGTTGTTGTTGTTACATCATGTTAGTAATATATAATACATACAATGTTGCAATGTGTAATTTGTTGATGCTATCATTCTCAGATATTTATGTGCAGATATTTATATGTAATGCTTTCAACACCCAAAGACAAATACATATTGGATATATAAAGATATCCATAATAAAAGGCAAAAACAATGAGAAATGCAAAATAGATGTGTTCAACTTGAATCAAAATCAATTTATGATGGAGTCATTGAAGCAAAAACTTGTAAGTCAGGACTATCTGTCTATCTGATGTGACGATGTAGGATAAAGCATTGGACTGCAAGGTCGGTTTGAATTGCATCAGCCACTCCTCGGAAACCCTATACAGAGTTGGAACTGAATCAATGGTACTTAACAACCTATGTATTTATCTATGTATTTGTGTATCCATCATCTACCTATCTTTCTATCTATCTATGTATCTATGTATGTATGTATGTATCTATCTATCTATCTATCATCCAAACCCATGGCTGTCAAGTCAATTTCAACACATAATGGCAATTTCAATTATAAGACAGAGTAAAACTGCCCCGTAGGTCTTCCAAGGCTGTAAATCTTTACTGAAGCAGACTGCTACATCTTTCTTCTATGTAGTGGTGTTGGTTTGAACTTCTGATCTTTCAGCTAGCAGCCAGGTGTTTTAACCACTGCACCACAAGGGTGCATGTTTCCCAAATCTATTGTAAAAGCATGAAAGTGAATATTGAAAACCAAGTGGTAGCAGTAACAAAAATATTGACAATGCAATCAATCACAACATTTTATTGTGTGCCTATTATGTATGAAGGGAGCACAGTGGCTCCATACATTAACATGGGACTGAGAACCACAAGGTTGATGGTTCAAGCCCAACAGCTGCTCTGTAGGGGAAATTTGAGGCTGTCTGCTCCCACAAAGATTTTCAGCTTCAGAAACCCTATACAGGGTTGCTATGAGTTGAAGCCGACTCAGTGGCACCTAACAGCAACAATATTATGTACCAAGCACTTTAGTAGACAATGTGGGGATGCCATACAAATATGTGAACTTTACTTTCAATAACTTTTTAGTGTAATGGGAAAAAAATTCTGTTATTTCTATTTTATTTGGTTATAGATGGAATTCATTTTTATAATAAAATTCTATGTCTATACCTACATAAAATAAATGTTTCTATAATTACTACATTGTTTGACTCAAAGCATTTGAAACTTTTTCATCTTGTTCTGTGTTCAATCAGTGATTAGGTAAAAGCATGAAATGCCTATAATGAATATAGAGAAAGAGGGTGGGGACTGTTTGAATGTATATCTAATGCACCTATTGATTTTTGAGATCAATTTTAAACCTGCTTACATATCAATAGAAAAATGTTGCTTCTGTTGGAAGAATTGCTATTTGCATACACAAGAATGGATCAGATATCATGTTAATGGTATATATGAATCCTGTTGCCTAGAACACACTACTGAATTATAGAAGCATGGTGGAAGACAGAATACATCCTTTCAATTTCTCAGGGGGAAAAATATTGTTGTTAACAAGTGATATAATTTAAAAACAAAACAAAACAAAGGAGGCAAGTTATGAGGGTAAGATTGCACCTTGCAAATTCAAGAGATAGAACCATATCTGGGCAAAGAATGCTACACCAGGACCACGGACAGCAACCAACAACTCTAAAAACGCTCATTGTTAGACCTTAGTCAAATTATGGTTACATGTGCAAGACCAAATCAGAGGCCCTGAAACTTACATGATAAATTTCTTGTCCACTGAAGTCTTCCTTGCCTCACCCCAAAGGAGATGACTTGTTGTATGTGTTTTCTGAAAAGTACCGCAACTTCTAGCATTGTGTTTACACAGTCCTTGGACAAAGCAGTCTCAATGCATTCCTGGCATAAATGCACAAGGAAATCAGGTTGACTCTCTTTTCATCCCTATAAGAGAAGACTAGATAAAATGGAGCATATCTGTTATTCTTATTCAAAATAGCTTACTAAAATGAACAGATCCCCCAATTCTACTCTTTGTTTCCTCAATAGTTTATTAATTTGAGAGGAAATTACATAGCATAATGAAGAGGAGCTAAGAATTTACTCTCTAGCATAGCCTCTATCAAAGGAAGCTATATAATTCAAAGAAAAATTAACCCAGAATAATTTTATTTTAGGAAAAATTCCTGGAGCTCATTGAAGCTTGCAGGGCAAAGCTGCCCTTGATGATCTTTAATGTTCTTTCCTGTTCAAAAAGATTATTTGCAATTAAGTACATAATACCCATTATACACATAATACAAAGATACCACCAATTTTCTCTATTCCATTTGGGCTTCTCTTGTAGAGATTAATATGGGCTTCTGAGTTAATGACATTAATCATAACACTGTTTCTTACAATTGGTTGTTTATCTGATCAAATGGCCGAGTGCCTCTTCTAATATTTCATTTCAAAAATTGCCCTGCATTTTTATTTGATTGCTCTTATTTTGGTGAGGCATAATAGTTTTTTAAATTAGCCCTCTGAGATGCAGTTCTAGACTATAAGTCTATTAATGAAATCTGCAAATGTAAGTGACCTTCTCCCCCAAAGATTAGCATTTGTTCTGTGCAGCCAGCTTCCCCAATGTCAACCCAGATTAAAGGCAGTATATTCCAAGCACTGTAGTATTTTAAGCCAAAACAATTAAGCTTGAAAATACAGGCACTTTAAAAATAAATTATAGTGACTAATTTCTAGCTCTCAAGTCCCTCCCAGTGTTTATAATAAGCTTGCAGTACATTTTCTAATTGAAAATTCAGGACAGTCTTAGTAGATGGTTTTATTATTTACCTGTAAACTATTTTTCAGATTTTATTTTTGGTCTGACTAACAAGTGCTCTTACAGTAACAATATCCCACTACACACTGAACTGCCATCCTGTGTACAACAGAGAGGATGTATTTTGGGTAGGAAATGGTCATATTGCTCAGCAAAATAAAAGTATAGCATTACCTCATAGTGATTATAACCACAAGGCAGCCCTTCACTCTCTCAGGGCTTCAATTATAATAGGATTATGCCATAAATATGTGGCAGGTGATATTTGTATTGTCAGAAATCTTTGCATAATACATGAGGCTGAATTAATGGCAAGTGTGCATGGTCAGTGGTGCTCATTTATCACCCTGGATCTGCTCCTCATATTAAATACTCATAAACAGGAGGCTTTGACTTACTGAGGAGTTAGAGTTTTGAATCTGCGAAGACACAACATCTTTCTCAGCTTGTGTAATAGTTGCAATTTCTACCATTTCTGTGTAAAAAAGTGAAATTAAGCTGTTAAAGCACCATAACAGCAGTCTCTGGGATCCCTCTGCTTCTTGAGTCATTCCATGAAAATGGACACATTTTCAGCTAGCAAGCACTGGAACGCCAATGTAAAAATAGGCATTTGGTCCATTTGCTGATAAAAGCAGGCTGAACTTTTACTTCCACTGTAACCACAGTGTAAAGAATTTGAGGGAATCGTCACTTCACTGACTGCTTCTCCTCCTCCTAAAGCTGCATTTTACTGTAATAGAGGAAATGGTTCATCTCCCCAATGGGCAATCCCTTTTTCTCTCTGTGCTACCAGTTTGATCTGTAGTCAGACAAAAACATTGTGGAGCTGCCTGAACTCAGATGAGCAGACTACCTGAGTTAGTTAAAGGAAGGGTGATTACACAGAGGTGGCTATTTGACAATTATTTTCTTGTAAAAATCCTTGTAGGTGATTTGGGCTGAGCAACAGTATGAAAAAGAGAGAAGTAAACGTACAGCTGTAAGAGATTCAGCATTAAATCTCTTCAATGACCCGATGTGGAATCAGCAGTGGTATTTGGTAAGTGCCTACAAAAATCAGGTACTTTATATGGTTATATTTGTACAATAGATTCTCTAAATTAAAAATTCAGCAGAAGCCATGTTACTTAGAGATTAGGGTTGATGGAGCCTTCCATAATCTGAATTTTCTGTTTTTCTGATAAAGGATGTCTGAATCATACATGTTTAGCTGTTAGGACAGAAGGGATTGTTTCCTCTTTGTCCTCTTAAGCTTATCTGGATTAAGTGCATAATAGGCATATTTTATGTTGCAGTTTGTTCTTATTGTCAGGTGTCATGGAGTTGGTTCCAACTCATAGCAACCATATACACAAATGAACAAAACACTGTCAGGTCCTGTGCCATCCTTACAGTCATTGTTATGCTTGAGCCCATTGTTGCAGCCACTGTGTCAATCCATCTTGTTGAAGGTCTTTCTCTTTATCCCTGATCCTTTCTTTACAAAGCATGATGTTCTTCTCTGAGCACTGATCCCTCCTGATAGAATGCCCAAAGTATATGAGATTCACAGTCCTCACTTCTAAGGAACATTCTGGATGTAATTCTTACAAGGCAGATTTGTATGTTCTTCTGGCAGTTCATGGTATATTTTAAGCTCTTCACTAATACCATAATTCAAAGACATCAATTCTTCCTTATTTATCGCTCAGTTTCATATGTATATGAGACCATTGAAAATGCTATGATTTGGGCCAGGTACACCTTAGTTTTGAAAGTGACATCTCTGCTTTTTTAATACTTTAAAGAGATCGTTTGCAACAGTTTTTCCCAATACAACACATTATTTGACTTCTTGAATGCTGTTTTCATGGGTTGTTGTTGTTGTTGTTACATGTTTTTGAGTCAATTCTCACTCATAGCGACTCCGTATACAGTTTCCAAGGAGCATCAAGTAGGTTTGAACTGCCAACCTTGTGGCTTGCAGTCCAATGTATATGTCAGTGGAGTCCTGGTGTGGCACTGTTGGTTAATGAGATGGACTGCAATGTCCACTTTGCACCAGGAGGCTTGCAGTTCAAGTTCACCAGCTGCTCCTTGGAAACCCTATACAAGGTTGCTATGGGTCAGAACCTGACTCAATGGCACTTAACAACAACATATATGTCAATATTTTCCCAATTTATCATGATGTTGCTTATTGGTCCAGTTGTGAGAATTTTCATTTTCTTCATGTTGAAATATAATGCATAATATAGGCTGTAGTCTATGATCTTTATCAGTAAGTGATTCAAGTCATCACTTTCAGCAAGCAAGGTTGTATCACCTGCATATCACGGTTGTTCAAAAGTTCTCCTCCAATCCTGATGTGGACCTATAATTCATATAAACCAGAAATGGTGAAGTATAATAGCTGAACACAATATAACAAAGGATTGCTCAAGAAGACAAAGTAAAGTATTATAATGTTATGTGCAAAAACCTGAAGTTAGACAATAGGAAAAGAAGAACATACACAGTATTTCTCAAGCTGAAAAAAAAGAAATAAAAAAATTCTAGCTTTAAGTTCAAAGTTTGAAGGATTCTGTGTGCAAAATATTGAACAATTCAGGAAACATCAAAAGAAAATGGAAGGAATACTCAATCACTGTACCAAAAAGAATGGATTGAAGTTCAACCATTTCAGGAGGTGGCATATGATTGATAACCTATAGTATCAAAGGAAAAATTCCAAGGTACACTGAAGACACTGGCAAAAACAAAGCTCCAGGAGTTTCCATAATACTAAGTGAAATGTTTCAACAAATTGATGCAGCACTGGAAGCACTTACTAGTCTAGGCCAAGAATTTTGGATGACAGCTACCTGGTCAACCAACTGGAAGAGATCCATATTTGTGTCTATTCCAAAGAAAGATGACACAACAGAATATGACAAGTATTGAACAATATCATTAATATCACATGCAAGTAAAATCATATTGAAGATAATTTTAAAATGGTTATAGCAGTACATTGAAAGGGAACCACCAGAAATTCTAGCTGAATTCAAAAGAGGATGTGGAATGAGGAACATCAATACTAATGTCAGACGGATCTTGGCTGAAAATTGAAAATGTTCCATATTAGGGGTTCCCAAAGCAAGACAAGTGACAAAAGTTGCATTTGGTCCAATTAAATCTTGAGAAATCCTTTAAATCACTCTCAAAGTGCATTCTCAAAATACTCAGTGTATATGGTTTGGTAAGTATATACAGCATTGTTTAGTAATTCCTATACACTATAGGTGAGAATCTGTGAACCAGTTTTAAAGGAAGTAAGAGAAGAAAAGTTTATTTGCCGATGTCAAGACTTAAACCCACCACTCATCTGTCAGTTTGTCATATTGTGGTGACTTGCATGTTGCTGTGATGCTAGAAGATATGCCACTGGTAATTTAAATTGCATGGTGGACAGGTTTCAGCTGAGCTTCTGGACTCAGACGAGGAGGAAGGAGAGGCAAACTACTTTTTAATGTTTAGTCTTTGAAAACCTTGTGAATAGCAGTGGAACATTGGCAGATATAGTGCCAGAAAATGAAACATTACAAATAACACCATAACACTGTCAGGTAATATTGCCAGAAAATAAGACCCTCAGGTTGGAGGTGCTCAAAATATGACTGGGGAAGAGCTGCCTCCTCAAAGTAAAGTTGACCATGATGATGCAAATGGAATCAAGCTTTCATTTGTGATGGGGCATGATTTGATTCACAAAGATGAAAAAGAGCTGCAAATATCCATTAATAATCAGAACATAGAATGTACAAAGTATGAATCTATGAAACTTGGAAGCTGACAAAAATGAAATGAAACACTTACAGAAACTAGGTGAAATAGACTGGTATTGGCCAATTTGAATTAGGCAAACTTATGGTTTACTATGCTGGAAATGAAAAATTGAAGAGGAATGGCAACACATCATGTTCACAAAAAGAACATTTCAAAACATGATAGGATAATGTTCATAGGCTTACAAGGAATACTAATACCACTATTATTGAAATTTATGCCAGTGATGATGAAATTGAAGAATTCTACCAAATTTTCAGTCTAAAATTGATCAAATGTACAATCAATATGTATTGATAATTACTGGTGGTTGGATTTCAAAAGTTGGAAACAAAAGGAAGGATCAGTAGTTACAAAATATGGCCTTGATGATTGAAATGATGCTGGAGATTGCATGATAGAATTTTGCATGATCAATACTTCATTGCAAATACATTTTAAAAACAGCATAAACAATGACTATACACATGGATTTCATCAGATGAAATACACAGAAATAAATTTGCTACATCTGTGGGAAGAGATGATGGTAAAGCTCCATAACATCAGCCAAAACAAGGCCAGGGGCAAACTGTGGAACAGACTATCAGTTGCTAATGTGCAAGTTCGATCTGAAGTTGAAGAAAATTAAAGCAAGCCCATGACAGCCAAAATATGACCTTGAATATATATTATTTTAGAGACCATCTCAAGAACAGATTTAATGCATTAGATGCCAGTAACCAAATACCAGAAGACTTGTGGATGACATCAAGAACATTATATAGGAAGAAAGTAAAAGGTCATTAAGATGACAAGGAAGAAAGAAAAGACCAAAATGAATGTAAGAAGAGAATCTCAAACTTGCTCTCCAGCATTGAAATGTTAAGTTAAATAGAAGAAATGAGAAAGCAAAAGAGCTGAACAGACAACTTCAAAGGTAGCTCAAGAAGAAAAAGCCAAGCATTATAATGAAATGTGCAAAAACCTGAAATCAGAAAACTAAAAGAGAGGAACACGCCCACCACTTCTCAAGCTGAAAGAACTGAAGAAAATTTCAAGCCTTAACTTTCAGGTTTCTTGGCTTCAATGACCAAGTGCATCCAGTACTGCATCAGTTTGTTGACAAATTTCAATTTATATTCCATCAATTTCCAGAACCTTGTTTTGCCATTGTCTTCAGTTTAGTATCATTGGATTTCTCCCTTCAGTATCATTGCTACATTGATACTAACTTGAAACTATCATTACTACCTTGATCATATGCTACCTTTTGAAATGGTTGAACATAGAACATTTTGTTTTGGTACAGTGATTCCATGTATTTCTTACATCTTTTGATACTTTATGCATAATTCAATATTTTGCCCTTAGAATGCTTCTATATTGTAAACTTTTCAGTTTGAGCTGTGCTAAGGAGAAGAATATTAAAAGTATCATGAACTGCCAGAGAACAACAAATCTGTGTTGAAAGACGTATAACCGGAATGTTCCTTAAAAGACAGGATGGTGAGACTTTGTCTCTCATACTTCATACATATTATCTGGAGGTACTAGTCCCTGGAGAACATCATGCTTGGTAAAGTGAAGGGTCAGCAAAAAAGATGAAGATTTCAAGGAGATGGATTGACAGAGTGGCAGTAGCAATGGGCTCAAGTGTAGCAACGATTGTGAGGATTGCACAAGACTGTGAAGTGTTTTGTTCTGTTGGACATAGGGTCTGTATGAGTTGGAACTGACTTGGTGGAACCTAACCACAACAAGGGAGTAATAGTGTGACATTGCAGGATGATGTGTTAGACCACAATGTCAGCTTGAACCACATGCTCAGCAGTTAAAACAAAACAGCCACTTCTTGGAAACCTTAGACAGGGTCACTATGAATCAGAACTGACCATGGCACTTAACAACAGCAACAAACCTCAACAGACTTACAAACCTTTCTGCCATTAAAATAGCTACCAAATACTACTAAGTGAAGGGAGTTCCTGCTGGCCTGTAGGGTGTTTTCTTCTCTGTTTCAATATTAAACTTCTAAAGGAATAATAAATATTAATAGAAATATTTGTTGTCGAGAATATGTTGAAAAATGTAATTTTTCATGACAGTCATACACTTTTATTACATAATGGATAGGAATGGGGATCAATTTCTCTTAATAGCATCTTAGTCTAAGTAGTGCTTGCTCAATACAGCAGAAGAAACTCATTAGCTAACATTGTTTTTGCATTTGCTTAGTATATTATGTGCCAA